ATGTAGATTTGAGTTTGAGCTTGATTGTGAAATGAACGGGGTTCCTTGTCTGAGGTTTTGTGTTATGATGTGGTGAGTGATGAGTACCCTCATAGGGTGGTGAGCATCGTGTTTTAGTGGTAGCGTAGTGTGATTGCCTATTGATGTCCGGTGTCAAAGGCAGTAAGGTTGGTGAATTCATAGCCTTGTGGCTTTGTGAAGTGTCTCTTGTGAAGGTCTGTATCTATGGGCCTCCTCTTTAAGGAGGGTAGATTTCGAGGACAAAATTTCTTTAAGGAGGGTTGATTGTAACATTTCTCATTTCCTATTTTCCATTTTCTGGGATTCCTCATAAAAATAAAGGAATGAAGTCAATGAAATAAAAACATATTGTTTCATGTTAGTAATTGTGAAAGAAGTCCTTTTTGAGAATGATATATTTGAAGAACAAATATTGCTAAAAGAATAAAATGTTGAGAATTTTTTCTGTTAAAAGAAAATAGAAAATAATTCACATTTCATCATACATGCCTCATTGCTAAAATTCACACATGAAATATTCAGTTGATATTTATGGAATACAAAATAAGGTTATTTAATATTTGTAGTCCTATAATTTTGACAATTTTGTAATTACCTATTTAACTTAACAATTTAGATTCATCAACTATTATTATACCACTTATTAAAGATGGTATTTTTTTATTCTACATGTTTGTTACAGTTTATGCTTTCCAAGTTTGTTATTATTATATGTTTGATGATAATCATATTTGCAATATTGGACTATAAAGTAAATTCTATACAAAAGTTTGGATGATCACCAAATTTACAATATTTCTCTGTAAGATACTATAACGAACTAAACCTAGGGGTCCGAATCGCTAACCTGAGGACTCTCAAAGGAAATATGGTCATTTCCTCTATCCAAGCATGATTAAAATAATGATACGGGTAGTACTTACTAGGGTCACAAAATGGTTCAAAAATTGACAAAATCTGAAAACAAGCAAACAACCCCGACTCCCAGGACTCAGTCAATGTGTGCAACCTATATGTCAACCGGTTCTGATCATTCGATGAACGTGAAGGCCCTTTTACGTTGACCGATTGAGCCTTGAATATTAGAAATCCATACCACCTAAAAACAAGAGATACCGGTCGATGCAAAAGGCGTATACGTCGACCAAAACAACCCAGATTATACATCTTGCACCCTGTAAGTGCTTTAAGCACTTGGCATCCCTCTTGGCTCAGTTATAGCATATAAATGGTTCCAAACCAGCTCCAAAACATGCTTAAAGTGGACATAACAACATAGGCATGAAAATATGAATAATATTATGAAAATACTCCTTTTGAATTTGAAATCATGTAACAAATTCCTCTCATCCATTCTTGAAATCATTAAAAACATTCATGTCTATTTATACTCAAAATAATAACATGCTTGACAATTTACCTTATCAAAATAATACCTTTGCATTACCATTGAAATAATCACAAGTTAAAAATTACATTGCCAAGATAATAAATTTACATCTCCATTAAAATGATTTCAAAATGCTCTAGGATCATGACAAAACTTTATAATTGGCCATTTGGTTCTTAAAATAATAAAAGCAAACTTCCTAACTACGCTTAAGCGTGTGAAGATGTACCATCATCACCGTCACTTCCAAAACTTGAAAATATTTAAAGTAAAGGGGTGAGTACCACCGCTTAGTAGAGTATACCCAAGGCATGGCTCCTAAAGCCCTGTGAGCAAGCACATAAAGAAACAGAGTTGAGATAAGGGGATCGTGCCTTTACAAAAAAAGTAACAAAACTATCACTATCAGGCAATAACAACTATACATCCACTTAACCATATTCACATATAGAAGTTCATCACAAGTTCCATCAACACAATCAATGTTTATACTCATGTTTATGCTTACTGCCACGAAATGTATTCCCATCCCATTTCCGGTCTTAAACCGACACAACTCACACCTAAAACCACTAATTGACTTTACCGAAGCGAGATTGCTTAACTATCCTTGGCTTAACATTCGACAACCATTTGGGGCCTAATTAATGCAATATTACATGTCCAAATCTGGCACGCTCTCCCTCTATTTCAAATTAGCACCGGACTTATGATATTCAGTTTCTTTCTAAAACCTTTTCATAAACTTCTTGAAAACACAATCAGCTTGACAAACCGTCCGGATTCTTACCGCCATGCCCATGACATGAATGCATTCTTCATCAATATAATGTCAATTTACATACTACAACAATCATTTTTCATAGTGACAATTTATCATTCATCAAGCATTCTTATAATCAATAAACATTCATTTAACTCTCGGTACATATAAGCTTTATCAATTATATCATTTTCTCACGAATTATCATTAAACACACATTAATTTGACTTCCACAATTAAAACATAATTGCAACCATCCATGTTAACCCTTTAGTATACCACTACCACATCCATATCACACAAAGCATGCTTATCACGTTTCCACATAGATGGCACGTAATTTTTCCGCAATTAAACTTCACATAGGCATATTAATGACTTGAACTTTCATAAACTCAATCAATTTCTATAACAATAAATTCCTAGCTAGCATGCTATATCAATTTATTAACACATAGGGACTCATATACAACCAAGGACTCTATAAATTAGACACATTTACCTCAAATTAGGATGAAAATCTCAATTACATCAAAATCGAAATGCTCCCCTTGCGAAACCAGCTCCATTGGGTGAAAGAGGATGTGAAGGAGAGTAAATAATCTTTCTACGGCACCTCCAAAATCCGAACTTCACCTTTACCCAACATGTCCAAAATGCTTCAATTCGAAATCTAAAACCATAGGCTTGAAACTCTCGTCACGCGTGTCGAACTTTTCTTCTACGACGTTGTCAAAATCTAAGCCTAGTTAGATCAAATCCTTACCCGAAGCATGTAACATGAATAGTAATATAAAATAAAAAACAAAAGGGAGACAGAGAGAGAACCCGGGTTGGAAAATAGAAGGAATGGAATAAAAATTTGGCCAAAAATAAATTAACTCACACTTTTATACTAAAGGCAAATCCGTGGGTCTCACCTCCCACTTAAATGTTTAAAATGACCCGTTTAAGCCCTGTACACTCGCAAACGACACAACGCAATGCAAAATAGATAATCCCAACATAAACGAAAAAGACAGTAGTGTCGAGAAATTTTTCGGACATGAAATTCGTTGTGGGGCCCACCTCCAGGGTACGAAAATCAAAACTGGCCAAAATGAACCCAAATGAGTTTCTAAGGATTATAAACTTGAAGAAACATCCCAAAAAACTCCCGGACTGTTGTTGCACGCATGTCCATGCACCAATAAAATAAAAATAAAAATGTCCAAAAAAAATACTAGAAAAATCTGGGACGTCACAGATACCTTCTCTATATTGACAAGGTTGATTCATGATGTGCATGACACATAAACTTATACTTGGTGTGGGGTAAAGTACAAATAACCCCCCTGAACTTTCAGGCATTTGCACAAAACCCCCTTGATTTAACAAATGCCCCCCTCAACTATTAAAAAGTTACAATTGAGGACAACAGTAAGATTTTCGGTACCGAAAAAAGAAGATTACTAAATTATCCTTTAGTTAACCTACGCCGTTTGGGTGTTTTATAAACTTGTGTTGCTGATGTGTCAAAACAAAATTCCAATAACCAATAAGAATTGAACAACTCATCATCTTATCACAAAACAACACCTACCCATCACACTTTAGCGTGGAACACCTATTCCCCACCTCATTTTAGTACTCCTCCTTCCATGTTCATGATCGCCCCTCTCTCCCACGAATTCTTCTTCCCCCAACTACCTCTATCGTTCACAGCCGCCCCCAACCCCTTCTGACCCACCTCCCTCTCCATTTTCCTTCTTTTCACAACACCTTGCTAACTCAAATTGGTGATCGCTTCAATTTAGGGAAAAAAAGGTTGGAAAGAATCGTAAATTTGGAAATTGTGGGTAATAAGGTAGCAATGGTAGTTTCGTCATTTTAAGTTTACAGCTTGTGATGTGAAAATCACGCGCCTATTTAGCCGGAAGAACCAAATGGAACCTTGCCGGTGGGTAACTTTTGCAACAATTTTGATAGTTTAGGGGGTTAATTGTAAAAATAAAAGTTCAGGGGGGTTTTGAGGGAGAGAGAATAAAATTCAGGGGGTTATTTGCACTTTACCCATATATTTATAAAGTTAAGAATTTAAAATGTTTCTTTTTTGATCCTTTTGGTTAGATGAAAATTTATACTGAAAAGTGAAACTGAAAAAAATGAAGTGAAAGAAAATAAAATAAATTTTCTCTAATTCATTTAGTGAGCATGATTTTTTTTCAAGAAAAATTGTAAGAAGGTATCATTCATAATTTGAATAACGATAATAAAAAATATTTTGATTCACTAAATTGTCCATATGTGTATTAAATGTGGCAATTGGTGTAAATAATTTATATTTAATAATTTATTTTTATTTTTATACAAAATAGAAGCAATATAAGAATTTAAATTAATATATACATATATATATATATATATATATATATATATATATATATTAAAACAATTGGAGGGAAATATAAATTATGATCCTATTCTTGTCGAAAGTTATGCACAAATACATTTTATTCTAGAGAGTAAAAGGGGAGTATAATTGATATTTCACATTCTTTTTTTCAAGAAAACAAAATTTTATTGTGTTTTTTTTTTTTTTAGGAAAAATTTGTGGGATAGCTAGGTGGTTATGAAAAATTACTTTCCCACTAAAATTTTCATTTCCTGCTATTCACACTCATATTTAAAAAATAAAAAATAAAAACATTTCTTTTCCTTTTCGCTATTTCTATCTAACCAAACTGAGCTTAATTTTCTTGTAGCAAATAAGGGAAGTAAAATAATGACATGTATGTCCTATCTACTGCATGCAACAATGAAAAATGAGAACTATTTGAATGGTGGTGCATCTTTAAAATTGACAGAAAATAAAATATAATGTCAAGTTTTATGACAAAATCTCAGTAAGGGACTTGATAGCCAAAACCCACTGTGATCAATCCATGTATATGTACGTACTCTACTACTCTATGCGGCTTAATAGTTTGTTTGGTCCTCTGGTGCTAAATAAAAAAACTAACACAATAACTACAATAATTAGAAACAAAAAGAAATAACTATTCAAGAGCCACTAGAGCAGATCCAGGATAACCAAAATTCTCCATTTTATCTGCATTAGTTGTAGTGCCTGACCATCTCTCATGTATTTGATGTATCTCCGAGATGAAAAAGTACAAAATTACGACCGGGGTATTTACCGGCCAATAAAAATTCCTCATTTTCTCGAAAACTCGCCAATTCTCTATTATCAAGGAAGATTGAGAGTTTCGATACCTCTTTATTGGCGGGGTGCCACATGTAAGTACTCCCGAGGTATTGATTTTTTTTTTTCCTGTGAGTGGTGAACTTTTTCAACTCTTTGCTCATTTGTTAGGACCTGTCTGTCCAGTTAGAGGTAAGTTGGGTGGAGTTCAAAGGAGGCATGCTACGAATGTTGATGTCGCGGGGCAGCAATCGATATTCAATGTCGAGCTCTTTGAAAATTTTAACCATCTCTTCAACCAAAAGGGCTCTCCTTGACCACTTCTCCCCCATGTCTTGGTGGTTCATTCTATGTCTCATCCATACCGCCAGTTTCAGCTGGTTCAATTCCACAAATTCCATCAACACAATCAACGGAGAAGCATACCAGTGGTCCTTCTTGCTTTCGATGTAACTGCATTTGGCAGCAGCAAGAAATAATCAATAAATATTCATCGGAAATTACATGGTCAATCACAAGCCAAATTCAATGCCATAGCAAAGTCATCAAAGGAACAGTTCATCTAAAAGAATGGATAATTATTACCGCAAGACAATATGTTGTGGCCCGTTTACCCATGATCATCACAAAAGTGAAGAGTTTAACCATAAATAATATCTTAACTATCACTATGCTAATACAGAGATGGTTTCAAAGTATTTTCATGTAGGGTGTTAGTTTTATTTAACTTGAAAGTCCTTTCGTCTCATCTGTGACTCTGAATTCGAAGCAAGATGTTATTTAATTAGACCACGTAGAGCAGCTACAACAACACATTTATTTATTTATTTATTTGTTGACCAGTTATTCCTATGATGCATAATCTCCCCATAAAAGAATTGGAACTGCACAAAATATATATATATATATATATATATAATTGAGTTTTAGGGGGAGAAAATGCCTTTCCATACCTTGTTATCCTTTGCTTCATGATAGCAATTTTCTCTGCTGGAGTAACAATATGGACACAGAATTCAACTGAATCTCCCATGTCAGGACTTCGATAGTAGTTACCGATTTGCTTAGTTGCGAGAGTACTGTTTGGATATATGATCTTCTGGTTGTCAAATCTCAGAAAGATGGTAGTTAAAATGTTCATCTCTTCCACTATCATCTGAAACTTGTTGAAAACAATGCTAGTGCCGGAATTATCAAAAAATGGAAATTGAATGAATGCAACACGTATATGTTCAAATATGATTGTTTATTTGTACCTGGACTCCATCAATCTCACACCGATCACCCACATCATATGGGTGCATCACGAACAAGAAGATGACAGCTTCAAAAATTGTTTTGCAGGTGTTTCCGAACACAAATGCCACTACCACGACCTGAGAGCTTACGAAGACTAGCATTTTGCTGGTTGCAATTTCTAGTATAATGAGTGAGATGATAACTATGATGATCCCAACTAACACATTCACCATATGATGAAGTCTGTTGACTGCTGTTTTCGTGTCATCTAGCGTCAAGGCAAGTGCTCTTCGTTCTCTGAAGGCGTTCACCTATACCAATAAGGCAGTGTAAAATTTTGTCATGACCAATATGAACATAAATCATACGAATGAGTGTGTGTGCACGTGTTTGAGATCTTGAATGACGGACACTGTTGTCAGACTCGAAATTAATTGGAGGGCACGATAAATGAACTTAAAATTTAATCTGCTGTCCAGTTCTTACCACCCAGCTCTTCAGGGCTGACTTGCTGATTTTTTCACTTCTGGAAGATCCTCCCAAGAGATTCAGTGTCTCCAAAGCCTCATCTTCTTTCATGAAATGCATCAGGTCTTCAAGGTAGATGTATCTACCAGAGGAAACATATGGAGTTCATTAGTATTTGCAATTGTATACAAGATATATAAATGGAGTCCTTTTGAAATGCAAAAACTAATGAATCATAAAAAAGACAATGAGTAGCTCGAACTAATAAAACTCTGTGACATGACCATATAATATGATCGAGAGAGAAGAGAACAAGAATTCTAATTATGATTCGTTGCTTTCTCAAATGTCAACAAGTTTGAAAATGATTGAGTACGTGGTGTATTAAATGTAAAATGTAAATCGGACCAAGGCCAATATAAAAACAAATAAGTAAAATTAATTAAAAAAAATGCTCAGACCTTGTTTCTTATGTTAATTCCCAAAGAGTGGTTTGGCACACTAATTGTTTTAATGCATGGAATAGTCTCTCAAGGACAAAAAGGTACTTAAAATCAAATGATTAAGTTCAAAGGAGAGATTGTTTTCCTATTGAAACAAAGGATTTTATATAAATCAGAAACATTTAGAATGGATTGAAAATTTGAAATTATAGGTTCGAAAATGGAGTGCGTATCAGAAATTCAGAACACACAGTAGCTTCTTAAGATTACCCAAGACAAGGATATTACTATCATACTTAGATGAGGTTCAAATTTTTTTTTTTTTTTATGTAAATCAAAAGAAAATATTGAATACGTAGTACTTTACAATACTTTATCTTACCAAATGAAGATCAGAACTAAAATTATTCAATTTTGATCCAAGCATTTGTGCATGCATATAAAAGGAATAAATCGGTAAGAAAACCACAATCATTGAACACTTAATGGTGAATTCTTTGTTTGTTTGTTTTTTTTTTTTTTTTTTCTCTTCTTCAGGTGAAGAGTTTGAGCATCAAAGTATAATATGTGTGTGTGAGTACGTACCTAACCAAAATATATATACATGCCTTTGGTTAAGTAACCAATGTGATTCCTTTGTCATGAAAAAAAAAAAAAAAACAAAACAAAACAAAACAAAACAAAAAAATTCAGGATTATCTCTTTTTAGCAGCCGAGAAGAGCAATAACACCTTTGCAGCTTTTCTCATTGCCAGTTTTAAAATATTCAGATTGATTCCTAACTCAAATCTGGCCTAAAGTTCAAAAAAAACTACTTTAAAATGGAGGATCAAATTAAAATAAATGAATTTTGGAATTGCATGAGTACCATAATAAAATGCTAACATAAAGAGAACAAAATCACCAAGCCTGTAGCCCAGATAGTATGATGTCTCTTCCCAAAGGGGAAGTTGAGAGTTCGAGTTCCATTAGGGGCATGTCGTGGGTAATGGGTGTGTGCTTGCTTTTAACTTTCGGGGAGAATTATAAAATAAAAATACCTACAGACAAGAGTGCTGGTGAAAGAAACAAGGACATACTTGGAACCGCATCTAGCCACATTTCGGAATATCTTCCTTGCTGCAACTTTAGCCTCAAATTCACTTCTAATTTGATTATTGGACTCATTGTCATATGATGAATCTAGTATCTGCTCATCCAATGTAGCCAAAAGACCATGCCTAACCATTTTCATCAACCTCTTCATATTCCAAGCAGAGATATTCTTATGATTCCACTTATGCAGATAATCAATTGGTATCCCCTCATCTAGCTTCTTAGAATATGTCCCAGAATACTGCATGCTCCCACCTCTACCTGTTGTTTTCGGAATCGCTCCACTCCCAATCACTCCTCTCCCACTCTTGCCTGGCGACAAGACAGTCTCCCTCAGCTCAGCAGGCACATTCATCCCTGCATTCTGAAGCTTCTGAATCTCGGCCATAGCCCTCTCGTCTTCGTCCAGATTGCTATGCAACGCAATCAAAGGCGGACCAGACAGCGTTTCAATCACATATTGATTAAACAACGACTCCTGAATCCTGTCAAAGAACGTGCTCACATGGAATGAAGAAGCAAGGACCTTAACCATTAGGGTTTTGACTAGCCACAACAGTGTGCCCGCCAATAGGCACAACAGAATCTTATTCACAAACTGAAGGAACTTATTGCTGTCGGTCTCATCCTCAACCTTCTTGTCAAACATGTAATGCCAAGCAATCAAAACAAGCCCTAACCAAATGCAATTCTGAACTGCCTTCCTCACCCCATACACAAAATACAAAACCCTTTTTTGCAGAAGAAAATTCCTCTCAATGAAGAACACAGCAATCCTAATCCCCCAACCGGACACCAATCTACCACATATCAGAACAAGAATCAAAACCTCCCATTTCCACCATTCCAACCCCCTAATTTTTTCTCTCTTCCAATCAGAAACTGATACAGTGGCAACCAAGAAAGTCACAATCAATACCAGACTGATCCATTGAATCATAGTCAGTGCATTGAGATTAGCCCTTTTAAACTCTTCCGGGATGTCGTCGTCGAACGGGTCGTCTTCTTCATCCTCCAACATTCCAGAGAACTTCCGTAACATCCCAGACTTCATCGGACCCGATTTTCCCTTTTCCGGTCTCCGGTCCGGAATTTCCGGTTGGTCAATTAATCTTGACTTCGTCTTGGTCCTCAATATACTCTTCTGTCTCCTCTGGAATGAGGTACATTTCAAGACCTCACCACCACCGCCATTGTTATCCACGGCCGTGAACGATGACCGCAGTCGATTGTGAAATTGTTGTGCTTGTGAATGTCTGTCTTCTATATCATCATCGTCTTCGTCGTCGTCATCGGACGATTCAGGTAGAATTACAGATTCTTCTTCTCTGTTTCGTTTCTCGGCGGACGAAGTGGTTTCTTGAAACGAAACCTTCACCTCCTTCGAAGTCCAAACTCGCTGATTGTTGTCGCTGTTGTTGTTCCGAATCGGAACCAGAGTCTCGGCCACCGGAAGCAAATTGACAGAGTTTTGGCGGCGGAGCTCGTCCATCTCCAAATCCACGTCCAGCGACATCTCGGCGCCCGCGGCTTTCTGCTTCCTCAACAACTGGTCGATCAGTCTCGACGGCGGGTTCTCCGCCGCCGCCGCCTCCTCCGGCGGCGGCCGGAACTCGTCGTCTTTCCAGAAGTCATAGCTGGATTCACGCCAAATCTTGTTGCCGCCAGAATTGGGGGTTCCCCCTCCTCCGCCGCCGCCGTCGATCTTGACGATGACCTCCCCGCGGTCAGCAAGATCGTCATCGGTGGTCCTCATTGCGTGATCGGAGAGAATGGGTCGTTCTTCGTGATAAATGTCGTCGCTGCCACTACCACCGGCGTATTGCTTATCTTTTTGTTTTTGAAAATACATTGTCTGAAAAAGTTTTTCCTATTCTGAGCCAGAATTTATATATATAGATATAGATATAGATACATGCTATAATATTTGACGAGCTTGGCACCGTGCTGTCCAGATCATGACATGGATCTTTCTTAGAACTAAACTCTTGTTTCTATTTTAGTTCACTCTCGAGCATAAATCAATTTATATTTTACTAATTATCTATATTTTTGTTTTTGGTATGCTTAGGCCCTGTTTGGCAAATGTTTTGTTTTGTTTTTGGCTCAATACAATAGTCCATTTGAAACCCAAAACATGTTTGGTTGGGCTTGTTGCATTTTGAACAGTTGCAAAACAGAATCAATTTTTGGCTCAAAAGATGAAACACCATTTTGGTGTTTTTTGTTGCTTCCGGTTGTATTTGCACTGTAGCGGAAGAAACAAATCCTCATTTAACTGTGGCGGAGGAAGCAAATCGAATGAGGTATAAAAGGAAAACTTGAAACAATTCTAGGGTTTGGTTTGCTGCGTTTTTGGTCTGGCGTCCTTGGCGATTCTTGGCGACATCAAAGGACTGCTATTTTCAACCGAGATCTGCTTTCCTTTGCTGCTATTTTCGACGATCTCAACAGGTTTGAACTTTTTTTGTTTGAATATTTCAGTTTTTGAATTGTTGGGTTGAAACTTCATTCATCTCTTGTTCAAATCCACTCCCCTGGCATTGATGAGGGAAAACGTCAAAAGAAGCTTTTAGAGACTGGAATATAGCATCTAAAGTTTTTTCGGAAATTTTTGTATGTTGTGTAATCCATGATTCTATATTTTCTGTCGATTCTTGATTGTGTTTGTAATTTATCGAAATTTGTCATAACATAAAATTCGAGCCACAATTACAAAATGACATGAGATGTTTGATTTACCAAAAATAATAATAATAATAATAATAATAATAATAATAATAAAAAGTGATTGGATCTTCAATCTGATTTATACACTGTCACTGAACCAAAAGTTCCCTTCACAGAAATCACTTTATGCTTTAAATTTCTGAGTTCAATTTGCAAGTCAATGTTATTCGTGCTTTGTATAATTTAGGAACTTGAACAAAAAAGTAGGATCATTTAGTAAGGATGTTGAAAGCTTGTGTAAAGAAGGGTTTGGGAGAGCAGAATATAGGGTGTAAGATTTGTATATGGAAAGGGTTAGATTTGGCTTAGTTATAAGTTATCACTTTTATAAAGTGGTTGGTTGCAAGAACTGCATAGAGTTAGTTGCTTACAGTTGATTTGTGCTTGGTAGAGTAGGGTTTTAGTGCAAAACAAGGGGGCCGCCTATCAAGAAGAAGAAGAATGGAATCCCACCTATAAATTCTTAGGAATCACCTCCTAAGCAAGGGTGGACAACTGAAGTTTAACTTGCAGGATTTGAAATCTAACCAGTAGTATGAAAATAAAAATATGAAAATTTCTATATAAATTTTAATTATTTTTATATTTGAAAAGTAAGTCATAGTATGCCCTTTAATATAAAACAAGATATAAAAGATTTTTTATATAGATTACTGACTATATTTAGTTAAGATTGTAAGATTAAAAGTATTTCACAATCCTTGAGCATATAATGGAAAAATGAGCCCATGCTCCTAAGTCCTAAGGTAAGATTGTATCACAAATCAGAGAATTATGAATTCTTATAAATTAATTCCCTAGAAAAGTAATAATACTTAGGTATCTATAGGCTCTACTGATTTTTCTTATGCTTACGAGGATCAATAGTTGTAAACTTTGACTATCATGAATATTCTAAACATTTTAAGGATTATAAATCAGACCAAAATAATATATATTGATGTAAAACTAACCTGAAATAAGACAGATATAAATCATTCATTGAATAATGGAACAACTTATAGGGCTTTGAGTTATTGAAGTAATAGTATAAGTTATTGAATAATAGCATGAATTATTGAAGTAATATATATTATTTTTGTTGTTATTAATTATAGTGTTGTTATTAATCTGTTAGATGGATATCAATGTTGAGAATGTGGAATAATGTGGTGAATATCTAACAATTGAAGAAGAAGGGGTGGCTGAAGTTATGAAAGATGGAAAAGTGTTATAGGATGACTCACTTACTGAAAAATTCTGTAATATTATGGAGGAACAAGTTAGGGCTGGCAATCGTACTGACACAACATTTAATCCAAAAGGTTGGACTACTATGGTAAAAGAAATAAAGGTTCAAACAAGGATATAATTTGACAAAACCCAACTTCGGAATAAGTTTAACCAATTGAGGACAATTTATATCGAGTTTAAGTAATTGTTATCGGAGACTGGCGTGGGATATAACCATGAGACGGGCACGGTTATGGTTGAGGAAGAGAGATGGGGCAAGTTGAGCAAGGTTAGTAATTTAATTATTAGTCCTAAATAAATAATAAAATATCGTATATTATTTGTTATGAGGTTAATATTGTAACAAAATTTTGTAGGTTATTAAGGGTACAAATAAGTTTCGTAGACATGGATATAAGCATTTTGACAAGATGTTGACTATAGTTGGGGACACATATGCAACAGGAATGCATGCCCACCCCTCCACTACAGCACCCCCCACAATCATTTTGCCCACTCCCAATGATGACGATGATGAGGAAGAGGGTTGTCATGTCAGTCCCCCACCTTTACGTAAAAGTAAGAAAGCCAAAAGAGATAGTTTATCTCCCAGTATGGCTGCACTCTTGTCAGGCATGGATGAGAATTCTGCGAGGAGAACTGAGAGAATGGAAGCTACAATAGAGAAAGCAATTAAAGCATCTTCTACTTCTACTCGTATATCTTCATGTGAGAAAGGAGATGATGAAATTCTCTCTCCCTCTAAAAAGGATAAAGATGATGAAATGTTTAAAGCCTGCATGCTCCTTTTACAAAAAATACCTGGAATTGAGATGGCCCAATTTGCTAAGGTATCGAAGTTGTTACGTGATTCTGAGAAGTGGCAGAAATTTTTTCTCAGTTCTCCTGAGGAGATAAGAATTGGTTGGGTACTAAATGTTTGAGTCCTTCTTTATGGATGATTGTGTTTTGTTGTTTGTTTAACTTATTACTATCTCACATTTGGATGACTGTAATAACTAAATACTTTTATTTCTTGAATGACTGTACTGCTATTATTTAAATATTTTTCTTATTAAGTTAAATGTTTTGCTTATTAACTTAAATATTTTATTTATTACTTAAATGTTAAGCTTATTAACTCAAATGCTTTATCTATTATTTAAATATTTTGTTTATTATTTAATTGTTTTGCTTATTAACTTAAATGCTTTGCTTCTATTAAATCTTTAAATAGGGCAATGGATATGTGGAACCATATAAGAAGAATAATTCAATTTTATAACGATGAGAAGGACAATGAGAGTGTCTTAATATTTGCTACTCTTTTAGAAGAGCAGAACTTCTATCAAAAGAGGCGTTGTAGGGATTCCATTTTACAAGGGGAAACGTATGTTATGGAGATTTTAAACGGCCACAAAGAAAGATGTTATGAAAATTTTAGGATGTACCCTGAAGTTTTTAGAATATTGTGTAGTACCCTGAAAGGTATAGGGCTGAAAGATTCTAAATTTTTAACTGTCAGGAATATCGTAGGACTAGACAACCTCGTGGTCGGGAGGAAGTGTTCAATCATAGGCATTCATCTTTGAGAAATATAATTGAGTGATGCTTTGGGTTGTTGAAGATGAGATTCACTATTTTGAGGGCAATGCCTCCTTATAAGTTTTCAACACAAGTATTGATTGTAATGGCTTGTTGCACATTACACAATTTCATCAGAAATCAGCATCAGCCTGATGATTTATTTGATAGTAACGATCCTCCTCAAAGTGATGGTGAAGATGATGAGATTGTTAAGCATGTGCCTTCGGCTCAGCTTCGAGAAATGGATCAGTTGCGTAATACTATTGCTGATCGAATTTGGAATTCTCTTTAGCACTTTTGATCCTTCTGAAAGTGATGGTATATTTTTTCTTTTATATGTCATATATTTGTTGCTATTGTAAGCTTATAATATATATATGTAATATAAATCATTTTTGCAGATATATAATTCAACTTAAATGTTATTATTGCAGATATGAAGTGTGTTGATGCTCTCTTAAAGGTCACATGTGCTGTTATGAAGATGATGTGTCGTTGCCATTATCATCCACTTTATGAACTTCTTATCAATTTTTACTGACAACTATGTATTGTTAATACTTTGTTCCAAACATTTTATGTACAACTTAAACTTGTTTAATTTATTGATTGAATATTTAAAGACTTGTAAATGGTATACATTATATTTCAATTATGCTTTCAGTTGGGTTTGTTTTTATTTTAATGTTGTGTTGGACTATACAGGTAACAGGATAATAAAATTGAAGCAGGTTATTGCAAAGAACTTGTAAATAGGTTATTGCTAATTTTTTTTACAAATGTTGACTCTCATGTAGTATAGTAAAATGTGACTAGAAATGTTTTTATTTTTAATGTTGTGTTGGACTATACATGTATAATGATAATAAAATTGAGGTGAGTTATTGCAAACAACTTGTAAATAGGTTATTGAAAAAATTTATATATATATATATATATATATATATATATATATATATATATATATATGTTTGTGGGTTCAAATTTCTCCATATCTATTAAAAATATGATAACTATTTATAAATATACATAAAATTTATAAAAACAAATAAAAAACAAGGATAACCAAACATGTTTTTTTATTTCTGTTTTTTTTTTTTTTTTTTTTTTTTTTTTTTTTTTTTTTTTTACAACAGTTGGACTGACCAAACATGTTTTGTTTTCAAAAATTTTAAAACACATGACTTACCAAATATGTTTTGCATATTTTTGCTTTCGACATTTCCACAGCAAAACATCGTTCCCAAACGAGCTTTCGAATTTTTTCCAAAACACTCCTACAGCAAAAACACTGTTTCCGTTTTAGCTAAAAACAAAACGCCAAAAACAAAGCACATGCCAAACGGGCCTTATCTACTTGATTTGGATTTTGTTGCACTATATCTCATTGTTTATTTTATTGAATATATATACTATATACTTTATTGCACTGATAAAACATATTTGCATAAATTGT